GCAATGCGAGTTTCATTTTCCATGCCCCTGGTTGGGAAGCGCTTACTCTCTCTCACTTGCCGTCCCGGCAGGACGCGTCCGGATTGAATCTACTCTGGCTTCGAGAGCCCTCATGTTGAGCTCCTGCTGGTCCGCCTGGTTGAAGCAACACAACTAGACATTCCAGGAAATCCAGGGGTCGCACTGCGGCCACGAATCCAGTCTCCTGGAAGTCTGTCTCCACCTCTGTGTGTTAGTACCGCAGGTGTTGTTTCTCTGATTCCCAGCTCCAAGACCAAGGTCGGTGTCGGCTGTGACGTCCATGGCGATACTCGGTAAATAAGTGCGAGACCTCTCCCAAGACTTCAGCCGCATCAGGCCGTGCATCCTGGTCCATATAGCAAGGGTATGTAATCCATCCGCGGGCTTAGAGAAGTTCTGCAATGTCCAAAGGGAGTTCCTCGACCGCTATCCCGTAGAAGGCCTCGATTTCCCTCATGTCTTGCATGGTGTCTGCGGTTACCAAGTTGATGACCACTCCACAGTTTCTGGCACATCCCACACGTCGGAGGTAGGTCTCCCGGCCTGTAGGCAGATCAAAGTTGATGAAGATTGCTCGCGTCGGCGGCGAGGGCAGCGCGAGCAGTGCGCTTCCCAACAGGTCTGTGCAGAGGAGCACAGCTTTAGAAGTTGAAGAGAAGCTCCGCAGCGCAGCCTCTCGCTCTGTTGAGTCAAGATCTGCATGGAGCGAGAAGACGGCATGCCCACGTAATTGAAGCGCCACAACAGTGTCGTGCTGCAGGAGGAAGTCGAGTTTTCGCCGTGTGTTGCAGCAGACAATTGCTTGTGTAACTGGCAAGTTCTCGAAGAGATCGCGAAGTGCATCAAGCTTGTTCTGCTCCGCATCGACATCCAGGTAGAATTGTCTGATGTCCGCTAAAGTGACTGGGTCCTGCACCATTCGGAGTACGACTTGATTCCGCATGAGCTTTGAGATCGCAGAAATGGCCGGCTCCCGGGTCTCGGAGTTTGCACAGACCTGGATGTCTGGGGCGAGGGCACTGAAAATGCTGCTGAGCTGATCCTCGGCTGACGAGAAGAACTGCACGCAGACACAGAGAAGGGTCGCGAATTCAGCCACTAGGGCGTCCCTCGTGCCATTGGGGCTTGTTTTTCTTCTGGTCACAGAAACTGTTGCTCCCGAGCATGACCCTACCTTCCTCCGATTTCGTCACATCCGCAGAGACGAAATTCTAAGATCTTTGCCGAGCCAAAACTCACGCGCACACACACACACACAGCAGAGACAAATCCCGAGAAACGAGTGTCTGCAAATCCGCGATTCAAGAGTTCCGACAACTCGTCCAGGATGATAAGCTTCAAACTGCTCGTGTCCAGGAAGCCTCTGCTGATCATGTCGTGACTGCGGCCAGGTGTTCCCACAATCAGATGTAGACCATTTTTCAGCGCTTGGATATTATCCCTGACGGGGGCACCGCCCACGAGAGAATGAGACTCTATCTTGCTGTCGAAGGCGGTGAAGACATGGCGGACCGCATGCGCGAGTTCCCGAGTTGGACAGAGAACCAAGGCTTGGCATCTCTTCAAGGAGCAGTCCAGCGAAGCTATGCATCCAATGATTAAAGCAGTGGTCTTCCCTACACCAGACGGTGCCTCTAGAAATACGTCACGGCCATCCAGGATCGGCAGTATGCCACACTGCTGGATGGCACTAGGCCTTTCAAGACCGTAGGCGTAGACATTCCGCAAAAGATCCTGCCTCAGGCCACAGTCTTCGAACGACGCACAGATTGGGTACTCCTCCCCACCGGCAATTCGCGAATACATGGCTCGTGGCCAGAACGTCTGAATGCAAAGCTATCACAACGCTCAGCTTGCAAGCAGGAAATGATAGAAGCAGCACAACAGCAAGTTTCATGGAACTGGCGAGGAGGCAGGAGGGGGGCACCAAGCAGTTGC